TAACTTGCTACATATGTACGTAAAAGATTTTTTTTCTTTCACGATGTAAACCATGTTATAAACAATATCAAATAAAGAAATGATTCTTACCTATGAGGGGAAACCCCCCAAAAAAAAAAAAAAAATAATTTTATTTTAATAATGTAATCATTTTTAATTAAATATTTTTCAGATATTAATTAATTAGATTTAAATAATTTTTATAATTAAATAAAATTATAGATTTTTTTATATAATATAATAAGTATTATCAACAAGGAGATATAAGTAAAAATTGAATTAAAACAAATATAAAATCCAATAAATTTGTTTAAATATTTTTTTAAAAAATAGTTGTAAATTTAATAAGTATAATAATAATAATATGATTAATTTTTATGATATTAAAGAGATATAAATTATAAGAAAACAAAATAAATAAAACTTTTAAACTTGAATAGGTTTTAATCAAAAGTTTATTATATAGTACTAGTTTTTTTTAGTTTTTTTTAATGTTTTTAAACTGGAATTTATTTATAATAAAGAGTATAAAATATTTTTTTAATTAAAATTATCATAAATAAAAATTTTTTAAAAACAATTGCAATTAAAAAAATTTTTTTTTATTAAATTAAAATTTTTTTTTCAAGTTATTTGTTTTTATTAATTAAAATTGTTTATTTTTTTAAATTAAAATTGATTTATAATTATTAAAGTATTTTAAAATTAATTGAAATATTTTATGCAGTAAATATTTATTTTATTAAAAAAATTTTTTTAAACATATTAGTAAGTATATATTAATAACAAATTTAATAAAAGTTTAAATAAATCTCAAGTTTAAATATTTTTAAAAAATTTAAAAAAATTTAATTTATTTCAAAGATTTTTGAATGTAAAATAATTTGCGATTAATTTTTTATATATTTATTTTAAATGGTTTTATTATCTAAATGGTTTATTTATTTTATATTAACAATTTTTTACAAAGTTTTAAAAACCAAAATTTTTAAAAAAAATTTTTTTTCAAATAAAATTATAATAAAATCATAACAATATATTACATAAATAATTATCAAGTAAACACTATTCATAATATTTTCAAATATACAGTATATAAATACTGTATATCCAGAAACTATCAAATTTCTTTGTAAAAATGAATTTATATTTTCTTAATACAATGGTTTTTTTTATATTGATATTTATATTTTTTATTAGTAATTGATATCACGTATATGCTATATTTGTGTATTAAACAGAGTTTACTATATAAAAATAAAGTTGTATCTAAATTATCCTTATACAGTATATCAACTTATTGCTATTGACTTATCCGAAGACAGAAACCTGAGCTAATATATCAAGGCTCTATTAATATGTCTCAAATATAGAACCGATTTATTTTTACTCATTGACACAATGAAAGGAACAATTTTGATAAAGTAATTTTTGATTTCAACCAATTTTAAATATTTCTAATCTTCCATATTAAATAAAATCCATGATCGAATAATATATTTGATATTTTTTTCTATGGAAAAAAATCTTTATTTTTTATTTTTTGTTTGAATGATTATTTTTATTATCATATACCCTTGAAATTGAATTCATCTTTACTATGCATATCGTATCCCATATTCAAGTCCCAAAGTCAGGCCAAAGCCTAACTCTTCGTTAAATATTTAAGCAAGATGTTTCTGATACTGTTCGCGTTCCAATCCATCTCCATTTCACAGATCATTTTTACGAATTCACAATTCTTACACGTCTTTGATGTATACGCTTCAGCGTATTCACTGACCTTGTAACCCTTAAATTCTCTCGACTTATATTTGAAACCTGAAATGCGACCAAGTTAGCATCGCACAAGTAGTCTTTGACCGAATCTTTCACGTATTCTTCAAAACCATTATTAAAGACTCAAACTTGGAATCTTGTAATTTTTACATAATCAATGGGCTAACTGATAATAATGGCACCCATCAATTAAATTATGGATTCGTTGTATAATTCGTAGCATTTTTTTCTCAATTGAAATCTCTTGTTTTTTCTTTCCAAAACAAGATCTTTCTATAATTTTTAATATTTCTTGGATAATTTAAATATTTTATTAAAATCACCGTTATCTCACTCGATTAATTGACATATCCGATCATAAACATGCGAATTCCTGGATCGTGTGAGATGTTTTTCCCGAACGCCATTTTGATAATCAAAGAAACAGAAACACAAATAAAAATATCTCAGATGATTTATTGTTAGATTAATGTATTATTGATACAGTATCTGGTGATCATTCTGAGGTAATAATATTTTTATCAATTGTCGAATTGCGTACGAACGTACGGTACTTTCCTAGGGATCTCTTTTACCCAGAGGAGTTCGTTATTATAAAGCATTCATCTTTCCCGCACCATCTTAAGAACCTTGTTGTACGTTCATCTCACAGTTCCCATTCACATTCTTAGCTTTTCCCTTTCTTCAGGTGTTGAATAAATCCTTACCTTTTCGTGTTTTAATCTCTCTTTGCATTGTATCTTGCCGTGAAGATAGTAACGATTGATAATAGGTTCTTGATAATCCAAACCAAGTATTAAGATCTTTCATTCGACAAGCTCTGCAGAACAAACATTCCTGGTAACCACAACCTTTTAGATGTCTCCTCAGTGCGATCATTCTAAAATGGATGTGAAGCACTTGCGTTTTCAGTTAAACCTGACCAATGTTTCTGATAAGTTCGTGATCTGGATATTTTTCCCTGAGATTCGCATTGTCTGTCAAGGTCTGCTTTCTGTTTCTCTGAGCTAACCCATGCGTAATCGATCTTTTTATATTCATTTATCCTTTCTTGAAAAATCTCATATCTCTTGTGTTTCACGATACTTTGTTATTAGCATTATCTTGCTCATACAAAAACGGGACTTACGGCATTAATACTTTATAAAGAATATTGAATCATCAACAATGGTGAAGTATGATAATTTTTGGTAATAAAAAATATTTACTATTATTAAAAAGTACATACCGTGTGTCTTGGCATTGCGTGAACCTGGTTTTAAAGAATCGTTCGTTATAGGGTGTTTGATTCCAAGGATTATTAAAATTCTATAAATAAAACATAATGTTATTGCTGTATATGAAATCTTTGCCAACTACTTTTCAAGTAAATATTTACTTTTATTTTCTTTCGGGTAGAAATTTCGTATACTGCATATAGTACAGTACAGTACTGTAATACGTAATGACCAATTTTACGTAATAAGTCGGAAAATGCTAGCGCAAAAAATTGATTTACAACACCTCCGAGGTTCCGGCATTCGGAGAAATTTGTCATAATTCCGATACACTAATCATGCGGGCTGGGATTACAATATATAAGTAAGTACACATAACATGATGGAATTAGAATAACCTTTTTCCTGCATAAATCTCACAAACGCTAGAATAATAAAAGAAACCCATAGAAATTAATAAAATGGCAAAGTGGTTACAGGACGCAATTAATGAACACCATATAATCTCGATTCCCTTTGATAATTTTACAAAGCATGAGGTCATAACTAGAGGGGCATTCGGCGAAGTGACTCGAGCTTACTGGAAAAGTGGCGAAAAAACTGTGGCATTGAAATCATTAATTAGCAACCCTTCTTCGGACAGTGAATCCTTCAAGGAATTTGTTGATGAGGTTTGTTCAAAAGACATATAATTAATTAGAGTAGAAATTCCGTGTTATCATTTCCTAATTCTTTGGTGTTGATAAATAGTTCAAGTTAATCCGTTCGGTCGATTTTCATGATAATGTTATTCGATTCTTTGGCGTAAGTCAAGGTAATTTGAATACCTTTGAATCATCATCTGATCCTACATTTCTTAATACGTTAAACTTTTTTTCATCACCCTACAGATACCACGACATCAAAATATTTCATGGTCTTACAGTATGCCGACAGCGGAAATTTGCGAGATTATTTAAAGGAGAATTTCAGTACATTAACTTGGGAGAAAAAGTATAATATGGGAAAACAGATAACGAGTGGCCTTAAATGCATTCACGAACAAGATATAATTCATAGAGATCTGGTAAAAATTCATTTTTAATTTTTTTTCTTGATCATTTTGATTAATGGATCTTTATCAATCAGTCACTTCAATTTCGTAGCACTCGAAAAACATATTAGTGCATGAAGGCAAAATGATGATTACCGACTTTGGTCTATCTAAATCAAGTTTTGTTAAGTCAACACCTAACATTATTGGGATGGTTGCTTACATAGAACCACAATGTTTTAGAAATCCAGCATATGTTAGGGATAAGGCTTCCGATGTATATAGTTTGGGAGTTCTTTTGTGGGAGATATCAAGCGGCCGACCTCCCTTTGGAGGCGAAAATATTTTAGACATAACACGTAAGATTTCTGGAGGAGGCAGGGAGGATCCTTATCCAGGTACTCCCGAAGAGTATAAAAAACTTTATAAACAGGCTTGGGATAATGATCCGGCTAATCGTCCATCAGTTGATCAGATTCGATATGAGTTAGATAAAATGTTAGGTATCGACTCTCCACCACCACTACCACCACCACCACGAATTCCTCCTGTGGCAAATCTTCCTCCTAAAGTTCCAAGCAAAGAACCGGTTCCTGGACAAAATCCTCCTGAGCCCCCCGAAAAAATCCCCATTCCCGAACAGAAACCTCCACAAAAACCCGAAAAACCCGAGGAGCTTAAGTATGGTCAAAAAAATCCACAGGTACCACCGAAACCAATCGGTGTCGATGCAGCAAGTAGCGTCCCTGTACAAAAAAGGGTCACTTTCGATCAAAAAATCATTTCCGAACGATCACTCCAGAATTCTTTAGAAGAAACTCGATCGAATTATAATGAACCAAATTACGCTCATTCCCAGCCAGTAAATAATTATCACCAGGATACTAACACAAGTGCTAACTTACGAGGATCTACCACCTCCGACCTCTCGAATCACAATGAGTACGTCGATTCCAATGCAAATGTCTTACAAGGGTCATCACAGTCAAATACTCAATCACACACCCAACAATACATGGAAGCAATCAATCAAAATACCAAAATAGATCATCCTATAGCGCCAACTATCCCACCAAACAAACCTAAAAAAAAAAGCAAATCCCTGTTTTCCAATTCTACTCCCATATACAATGTTCAGACCAATCAGCACCCCGTCTCACATAGCGATTCTCAACAACGGTCCGTTCAACCAGCCCAGTCAACTCCCATGGGACCAATCGGTCAACATTCGAACCGGGAAAATTTCACGCTAGATAGAAATTATACCTGGGCATCATCGAATTCGACATTAACTCCGAATGAATCAAAATTTTATTTTAATCAAAATGTTAGGGGATCAAATACAGAGAACAAATCATCCCCTGATAATTTTGTAAGATCGCACCCGTCCGATCAGCAATTTTCTGGAAATGTCAACAATACTACACCGAATATACAAGTTTTAAATTCCCAACCTCATACGTTTTTATCATCTCAGTATCAAACCCAGCAAAATATACCAAATCCAATGACTGATGTTAATAATCAACAACCACCTAATTTTGCTGATTCACAATTTCATCATGGTCATACGGAATTTTCCGCGTCAGTTCAATATCACAACCAGAGCATTGAGAGAACAACGATAGGTATCAATAATCAACCACCACCTAATTTTACAAATCCACATTTCAACAATGACATCCCATATTCTCGAACTGAATTTTCGATGCCAGTCCAGCGTCAGAATCAACACGAGATCAATTCCAGTTTCGTGGCTCCACAATTTGTCAATGGCAATCACAACTTAAACCAACAATTTCAACATTCCTTGCCAATTCTACACCAAGCTCAACAAAATGTCAATTATAACGCTCATCTCGGTGGAACAGGTTTTAACAACCCACAGCCTATTAACAATAATGTTAATCAAAGCTTTGATTCAGTTAGTCATCCACAACCAACCCAGTTCCAAACTCAACACCAGGATGTCCAAAATTCTAATTTATACAACCAGCAGTATTACGCGAGTTTTGATCAAAATGGTCAACAGGTTAATTTTGCGAACGCCCATCATCAGGAGTTTCCCATGCAAAACCAAAATTATCAGGCACAAAGTTATATTATGCCGCCGAATCACACCGGTCAATTTAATAACAATTATGCCGAATCAAATTTAAATTATGATTCACAGCAACCGTATACGCATATGCCTGTTTCCCAAAATCCGAATATTCCCAATGAACATCGAGGATTTGATAATAATCTTGCCAGGGAAGGTAAAGATCAGGTCTTTCATTAATGATTATTAAAATTATTTCGCGTATTGTAAAAATTCAAAGGATTTTTGTAAAAATTTAGTTACGAATTCTCCTCAATCACAAATATATGTAAGTATTTACGAGGTAAAAAACGTTTACCTGTTTTTTTTTTTTTTTTAGAACAATCATTAAATTTTACTTTGTTGAAGGATCCACAAACGGATGTATATTGTAAAGAAATATTGGAACGTTTTACTAAAGAATACCAGAATATTTATGGCTACGAAGATCCAGAAAAATGCAATGCCGGGTATCACTGTATCTTTGGCGATGAAAAAGGACTGATTTATCATCTTAATATAGATGGTAATGTTGACGGTGCGTATAAGGTTATTGATATGAATGAACCTCTCGTATTAATTGCAGCAAAAAACTGTGGTGGGAAAAAGATGATCAATGTATTCCAACGCCTCAAGGAAAGAAATGCGGATTTCAGTGTGACATCGAAATTAGGGAAGACGGCATTCCACCTTTTGCTTGAAAACAAAAAACTTCGTAAAAATATAATTGAAAAATCGGCGACTGAAAAGTTTCAAAATAACATTAAAAAGATCATTGAGTTTCTCGCGGAAAATAATTGTGACATCAATGCGAAAGATAATAGCAACAGAACAATTTTATCTTATTGTTTAACTGAATCATACCATCATCAAGAACACATCCCCTTCATTTCATCGCTGTTAAAGAATAATGCGAATCCAAATATCCCAGTATATTTACCAGGCAAAGTCCATGCGCCCAATGCCTTGTTTTTGGCTATAAGATATCGTTGGCCTGTCGAGGTGCTAAAATTATTATCCATATATGGTGCTGACAAAGAGAAGGAAGATGATGATGGCAATGATTTGTTATTATTGACAGTGGCTCCGGAGAAGGGAAAAAAGCAAATAGAATCAATGATTTGGGTCTTGGAAAATAGTAGACGCGCAACCCAGGATAAAAATATTAAGGAAGCCCGAAAACATACCGAGCTTATGTCCAAAGAATGGAAGATACTAGTGGGGTTTGGAAAAAAAACGAAGAGTACATAGGTGAAATAATTGATGTCCAAATTATTATTAATTTCATAAAGTGGAATGACCTTTTTTTATCAGAATCAAATGAGAAAATACAGAGTATATTGATAGATATCACTGATCTTATTTTCTTCCCATTCATCACACATTATGTATATAACGGCAATGGTTTAAACCACTTTAAATGTAAATGAATAAACCGTTGACAAAAGATTTTTGATGTAAAGTATTTGTTTGACCAGTACACATTAATAGGATTTTATTATTTCTGATCATTCATGGTCATTCTTTAATGACATGCGAATTAAAAGGAGAGAATAAAGGTAATCGTTAACAGATGTTAACAGATCACAGATCATATCGCCTGATGGCAAATTATAAAAATTTCATTTTTTTCCAATTTATTCTGTCTTTTTATTAATAATATCAAAAATGAAAACTTTACAAAAAATAAACCATTACATATATGCGATATGCTGCGATTACATTACATCGTATCAAAAGTTTTATTCTTTTTTGCTTGTCGGTTTCCTCTTCTCGTATTCTGATGTCCCCTAGAAGAACTTGCACCGCGGTCTCCCGTGTCTATTGAAGAACTAGATTCGTTCGCATTTTTTGGATTTCTATTGTTTTTTCCGCCCCTCGAAGAACCAGATCCGTCAGTGCCTGATTCTTGGAATTTTGCGTTTTTTGATGCGCCACCAGTTGTTTTTTGTTGTTTTCTCAACTCTTCAAGTTTGGAATCAATAAATTTAAAAGAATAATACGCGTGGCATGCCAATAACGAATCGGGAAAATGTTCGTTCACTAATTCATCGGTAATGAACGAGGGCCATAAGTTCAGCGTTTCGTCCGTAAAGTATACGGATAGTGGATAATCCTCTTTAATCGATTCGCTTGATAAAAACCGGAGAATAAATCTTTTTAACGCTGAGGAGAAAACCTCCGCCGGAATCTTGGTTAGGTCCTCTGAATGTGTTTGATCGTAATCGATAGCTTTTGTAATCTCTTCTTTCAAATCATCTGTCAAATTTTCTTTATACTTATCACTAATGTAATTCACCACACCGTTTGCAAATTGCACTTCGATCAATTCGTATAAAGCTACCAAATTTTTCAATTTCAAGTTCACTTTTAACAAATTTGCAAATAGGTCGTTTCCTTTTAGAGTTGCCAATGTTTTCCATTTATCAACATAATCAATGATTGACATTTCTCCGGTACCAGTCAATGTCCTCTTCACAAAGCAGAGTAAAATTTCCAAACATGATAATAGTTCGGAAGCGCTGTCAAACGATAAGGAATCCGGATTATATTGACGGGTTATGAATGAAGAATTTGAGGTTAAGCCCAAAATACGGGAAACGTTTTCCGATGAAATTGGTTGTTGGGGGATTGAGTTCTTAACTTCGCTTAAGATCCTCATGTATCCTTTGAATAATTCCATGTGGAAGTGGAATGGCTCAATAAACATTTGAGAGTCATTCAAAGTTTCTATGTGAACTTTATCACTTAACAGTTGACGAGCGAGCAGTTCTTCGATTTTTTGGAAGTCATAGAATACTTCATTTCCTCGACCGGCATCCAGATTTCTTTGACTATGGCGAAGAATTTGATCATCCCATTTATAATTAATTAAATTTTCTGACTTGGCATGAGTTATTTGAATTGATCTAATATAGCGCTGAGCAGAAGACGAAGATGAGTCAAACGCACTGAGTTTAGTTTCACCCATGAAATTGAGTGAATGGGACCCGGAAGGGATAGCAATAACCTCTTGTAGGAAATCATTTTGTAGGCCAATTAGATATTCTAATATTGCGCAAAGATAAATTCCCGAATCTTTAGGCTCGACAAGTGCAAAAACTATCGGGGAGTCATAGTTTATTTTCGGTTTCTCCTTTGGCAGTTCGTGACACTGATAATTCTTAACTTTCCTTATAACCGCATTCCATGACCGAGCAAAATCGTTGAAAGCCAGGTCTATCATATTGGAAGCATCATGGTCTTCATTATCGGATAGGTCCCTTATGAATTCACGAAAAGTTTGCCTTTCTGATTCCTCTCTACTCAAACGGTATTCAAGCTTTGAAGACACCATCATCACAAACTTTACGATTGGATAGAGATACTTGATGAACTCCAAGTTTTCTGATCGATTGAAAAATACTGATAAGAAGGGGTGGACATTGACGTTATTCTCATCCGCAAAGTAATGAGCGCGTAAGCTTTGCAAGCTTGTGTCTCCGATTGCCCTCCACAAATCTTTTCACAAAGATTAATAATAAATAATGATGTCGTGAACAGAAAGAGGATAATAAGTTGATGATTAGATAAATATCTTACTTGGTAAATAAGTCCTCTGGTAGTTCTTATCCATTGGCATTGTCTGCTGAATTTCCCTTTCAATATTATTATTAGAACCTTGAGAATTCTTGACTGCATCATCTATCTGATTCCTAAATTCTATCACGGTCTCGGTCACATTTTTGACTTGCGGTGCAACATAGTTTTTCAAAAAGTCATGCTCCCACTCTTGTCGCTCAGCTGAACCTTTTAATAATAGCGTCTTTGGTGGAATGGAAGTCAACAGATTAAGGATGGAATGCAACAGTAATGCTAGGCCCTCATCTGATATGTCGAGAAGTTCTTTGAGAATAGTCCAATCATTTTGAATATGACCCATGCAGTAGATTTCGGTGTCAGTCGCAACATGATTGTTTTTCCGTAAGAACTCTAGCGCGTGAGGTACGGGAGCCCAAGAGCCAATTATTGCGTGAACAAATAGGTGTAGGATTCTATACGAAACCGGGTTCATTGATCTCACGCTTTCATTTTTTTCTTTATTGATTGGTTCCCCAATGTAGCCAGTTTGATCCTTGGATTTTGAACCCACTTTAGGTTTCGTATCCAACTTTTTCTGACCAGGTTCAGCTACGTGATTAGCGCCGCCGATAACCCTACGGCCTTTACACATAAACGTAAGTCAGATCGTTGAATGGTTATATCATTGCCAAATTACCTTGTCACTTACATTCTGGGCAAGTGCTTCGTCCATTAGTAAAACCGCAATTTCCGATCACGTACAAGTAACCGCATATGCATTTGTATCTAAGAAATATGAATAGGTTATCAAAAATTCGAAAGCCCTTGTTAAAGGAAATAAAAAATTTACCGAGTGAGCTTCTCCCCTGTTAATACATTATGTATGGAAAGTTAGATTTGACAACATAGCCATTGCACAATACTCGATAGAATGTTTGAATTCACTAACCGATGGCATTTAATATCAATGATTCGATATCCGAAGGACAAGTCAATATGTAAGATCCATTGCAATAATGTATGTTTTGTAATAAGTATGCGAGAGGTGAAGATTCTGACGGGATTGATGCGTGTAATGCAATTACATGACCAATTACAAATTTAATAAGTAGATCCCGAGTGCTAGTGTTCGTATTTATCCTCATGAGCACATGTTCGTCTTTAATAATTCTGGCAACGGTTTCTTTATAAGTGGATGAGATATGAGACACACTTCTGATCTTTTCCAACAAGAATTCCGCTGCCTGAGTTTCTGCTTGAGACCATTCCCGTGAGGCACGAAGCGCGTGAAGACGATTAAATATTAACCCAATCAACGCGATATGAGATTCTTTCGCATCTTTCTTGCTGAATTGTTTGAAAAAAGTGGAGTTAAAAGGTAACCTGTTATTATTTAAAAGTGGTAAGAAGGAATTTTCTAAAATTGAATAGTCGTCGCCGAGAGACCAGTATGGGTCAAACGGAAGTTTTATCTCCTGAGTATCATTCCACGATAAGCTGGAGATCCAGGGTAATGTAAATTGTTGTTCCTGACAGAACCGTTTGACATCATCCATGGAAAACTCGCGCATCCTCAAATCTCGCAAGAAATAGTATTTTAGAGATTGGACGAGCGGGAAATCCTGTCTTTGCATATAATCGTTGATTGTACCTATTAAAGTGAAAAGGTCAAGGTCACCACCTCCTACACGATTAATATCAATTGTCTCAGTGACATTGTTGTTTGGATTTGTATAATTCCAAAATTGATGAACGAATTCTTTCAAAAATGCTATGGCGGTCAGTTTCGATAATGGAAAACGATTTTCAGTTATTCTATTAAGTGCGTGACGGAAATAGTTTGACGAGTATGGCAGGTCATTCTTTGCAAAAAAAGTTTTTTGAATCACATCGCAGCACAGGGAGGCCATCCGTGTGTGAAGTCCGTTTTCACCCAAGTACCTATCAATAATATTCAATCTTGGAGAAAATTGGAGTGTACGTTCTGCATCATCAAGAAGACGGAAGAAAATATCCTTGTTCTCTTTGTCTTCGAGCTCAAATATTCGAAGTATGATGATACTCATGTGTGGGAAGGGTTCTATCGAAAATAAGTACTCGTAAAGCGTCAGACGAGTATCCGATTCTATGGGCACTATATCAAGGTATTTGGTAATGAATAGTCGTCTTGGATAATGATCATAATCGCCTAGAGAGATCAATACCGTATAGGCAAATTGTGATGACATAAATTCATTGTTTCCTAGTATTATAATATTTTTAATAATGTCTGTGTGAATGGACTTCACAGATAGTAGATCGGATGATATCTGTAATAGGTGAAGGGATAGAGTTGATGTTCCGGGAATCTTCTCGCAAAGAGATAAAACCCGGGTTGCTTCATGCTGCCATTCGTCATAATCATGTATTTGACCTTCACAAAATTTACTCAATAACCCTTGGGATGCCGACTCGATCAAGTGCTCATCCAAGTTCATTCCTTGGTGAATGTCGTTCCTTCTATATTTGATTGGACACATCCTTGCCAATTGAAATTCGACCAAAATGGTATTGACGTTATTCCACCAGTAAATGTGGAGCAGGAAAGGATTCAGAACCTTATCAGGACCAAGCTTTTTGTGTAGAACGTATGAAAGAGCATCTACATGCTTCCTGATGGGACAGTTTACGATTAGAAAGTCGTCGAAATATAATTCTTTGTTAAATTGAATTGGTGAAGTTTTGAAGTTTGGTACTGAATCCAATAGATTCGTTGTAAATGATTTTGTATAATCCCTGAGGATATAGTCATGAATCTTTCCGTTTTCCGGATCAACGCAATTAGGATCTTCGCGAAGCTTATGCACCTCATCATCGTATAGTCGTTTAAAACCGTCAATCTGTTTCATGAAGTAGTATGAAAATGGAAACTTGAGATTATAAACTCCTGATGTCAACGAGTATCCATCAGGCTTAGGTTCCTGCAGGTCTTCTATTGAGATGACACTTTTGTCCATAAACATTTGTCTCCAGAATCTAAGAAGCTTTTCATTTTCCTCTTTCTCCATCTGATCAGACTTTTGAAGATTGAGAAATGTGGATATGACTGATAATCTTTCAAGTGCACATAACAGTTTTGCTATTGGTTGGCGAACTAATGTTCTTATATGAGCAGACAATGCAATAGCAAATGACGAATATGGATAAAGACTTTTCTTGTCAGAAGCAACATTATACTGCCAATCGGTAAAGGTTACCGTGTCTCTTAGCCAGTCGATCGTTCTTTCTTTTAACAAATTAATAAAATCCGGACTATTTCGAATGTCAACGTTAAGTGCTCTAGAGGAAGGTTGTTAAAGGTTAAACCGAGGTTAAGAGAACCGAACCATACAAATTAAAAAATTAAAACGCAGATTGAATCTTACTTGACATGTTCTAACGATGAAGTCGTTGACGGATACTTTATGCAAGACAAACACCACAGTAACTCTTGGTTTAAAATCTCTTCGAAAGGATATACTCTCTCGATTATTTCTCCCAAATCTCCATACAAAAGCAATGATAAATGTTTATCTTGCTTTGCTAAAGTCTCGATGGTGACTTGATGCCAGCCAGACATAAAATTAAATCCCACAAATGACGAATTAAGATCACGGTGCATGTGAAGAATAATACATGCGTGTTTTGTAATCAGCTCGGCATCATCCTGCTGATAGTATTCGTTTCGTAATTGTTCGATTACGAACTTTGCCAACTTAATGCATTTTGCATTTACTGTAGTGGTGTCACATTGCAGGACCAACAAGTCCTTTTCACGAGAACTAAACCAGAACTTTTTGACTTGAGATTGAAACTCGGTTTCAGTCTTGAATGTCGAGAGCTTAATGACCGAACACCTGGAAACTCCTTGGAGGCACATTTGGATATCAGTGTTGATATTGGAAAAGGTATTAATGATGACTTGATAACCTCTTTCACTTGCATTCGTATCAAACATGGACTTTTCAAGTACGTCAATAAAGTAATCAGAAAGATTCTCATGCTTCTGATCACGAAAGTAAACATCTTTCCACTTTTCTATTTCTTCAGTCGGCATAGATGAATTTTCTGCACGAACGATCCCATCAGAAGTGGCAATCCAAATCAAAGTCTCTTTGCACTTCTCCAAAATTTCCTCATCATCTAGTTGAGGATAATTTTTCTTTACATAAATTACCAAACTAGGGATTGTCTCATCGGGGTCAAAACCTATGAATAGATCATTTAGCGTAAATCTCTTATGGGAAGGAATGAAATTCCCGCTTCCCGAATAAGTCGACATTTGTTTTGCCCAATCAGTTAATTGGTCAACCAATTCCCTTTGGTTAATCGTGAGAACGTCATTCATCGTCATTCTTTGCTTTTCAAACCGATTCAAGAGTGGAGGATCCGCATCTGGTAACTTCTTTTCGTCCATCACGAGAATACACCTAAAGTTCTTTGCAACGGATCTTAACAATTAAACAAATAATATAAGTAGCTATGCTAACAAGATTTGAATTCAGCGGGTTAGTCTAGTAGGTGAATGAAGGATTTGACACTTACAACATAGGATTAGCATAAGCTCCGAGTGCGACGCGGGTATAATATTTTGGATCGTCTTTACTACCGGCGACAATGTAATTTTGATTCCATAAATCATAAAGACTTCCTGTGAATCAAATGATACAAATTAACGTCTTAGTTCTATAACTTTAAATTTACACGGAACGTCATCAAAGGCAATAAATACCATAGATAATATCTAAGTCTGTTAAGATCAAAGGTCTTCCAGCTTCCACGCACATCTAGGATAGAGACATATGTTACAAAAAAATGAAATCTTTACAAATCCATTCTCCTCGGATTCAAACACGAAACAAAATTTTTTTACCATAATTCTACTTAAAACGGTATATGAATAATCATCACGATCATTAGGAAATTGAGAACCAAATATGATCACTGGATCTAGGTCTCTCTCTCGGAGTTTGAAGGTCAACAGATTAACAATGGAATCACTTTTACCAATTATCATAAGGTGCCTTGCGCTTTTATCATCAAGATTCTCATAAATCAGATGATCAACCGGTATCGGTTTATATGACCAGCTTTGGTTTCTATTAAATGAGGATATCACTTCGCCAAAATATTTTTGACATAATTCTTCTTGTCTTTCTGTACCACCAAAATTCCTCGCCAACGACATCTGGATGTTTTCTGGCTTCAAATCCACTAGCGACAGACTTTTTACGAGTGAATAATAGTCACGAAGACCATGGAAATTCCTGAATTCTTGACCAGTTTGTTCATATTCCGAGTAGGCTTTTGCCAGAGGTCTGAGAGACGATTTCTGAGCTTGTTCCGTGCCGTTATCCAACAAACGAACCGCAATGTCAACGAGGTCCTCCTGACCTAATTTTGGTCTGAAATTTCGTGAATCGCAAAGATAATAGTAAGAGACGAAATACTGTTAATCAAAATTGATTATTGTAATAAACTCAAACTAACCTTTGGACCAATAAGGCTCGACTGCTCTTACTATTATCTAATCTCCAGTTACTTATCCCTACGACAGCCACAGTTGGTCCATCTGAAGGGTAACTTGGCTCAAGCAACGAATGAAGAACCTTCAATGGATTATATGGACTAGTTTCCGCCAGTCCAACTGCAACAAATATTTGACGTGAGTGAAAATGCAAAATTGCAATTTCTAGAATAATTAAAAAATATCGACAAAAAAAAATTTTTTTTCACCTTCATCTAACAACACCACACTAATAACCGGAAATTCTTCTGAACTGGTTTTCTGATAATTATATGCTTTGTCAAAAACTTTAAGTATACCATCGGAGGTTGAGGATGACGATCCTTGATGAGGGATTAAATACACCTAAAGATGAAAAATGACATAAATTAAGAATTGATTAATTAATGAGAAAATAATGAATAAGTCAGATAAATACCTGCGGAAATGTTTTGAAGTAATCGTCATTAGAATCGAAACCACGTAAATTCTGACTCACGAGTCGAATGGCCAATGATTTAGAAGAACTGTAAATATCGATAATCGTAAGAACTAAATGAAAAGGGGCAAAATCGATAACATCTGATTAATTAATATAATAGTTATACCCACCCAGGTGCCCCGATGACGAATAACGGAATCTTAGTCAGAATACAAACTATCATGACTAAGACATTTTCCAAAAGGGCATCGTTTTTTGCAGTGTTTGGTGGCAAATTCATCCGATTTAAATAATCCTCCTGTTCGAGACGGATTGTCTTCTTGAACTCGTCTGCTGAGATATACATTTTTGCTTTCTGAAGAATTTTACACATCTCCTTACGATATTCGGTACGCAAATCCTGCAAATATAGTCTGGATTGATAGCTAAGTCCCAACGCCAAAATATACGATCGAATAGAAACCGGTAAACCTGATGGTGGATATTTTGATTTCTTATTAATAGGTGGTCTATTTTGGAGAGTCCTGTAGAAAAACTTCATCAGAGTGATTGCTCTCTTCACATCGCGTAAGCTAACACTGTATGGTTCTTCAACTTTACGAATAAATTTTTGTGATTCGAATAATAATTCAGCGACTACGGCATGGTACAAGTTATCTTCGAGCTGAGTTTTCACCATTATTTCAATGTATTTTTTCTCATCATTCTCTTGTAGAATTCCGTAATCCCACACGTAGTCCAATATTTGATCTGGAAGAGGTTTCACCTCGTAGACAAGATTACTTCGATGAAATTCATGCTTTGACGTCGTTTGTAGACCTGCCTCACTAACGCTCTTCGTTCGTATACGATAAGGATTGCAAGCAGCAAATATTCTAACATTTGGACTTAACAGTTTTCCCAGATAAATCCGGTGAGCGATAAGATCAGCCAACAGACCGATGTGATTACAGGTGTTAATTTCATCGAAGAATAGCCAAACATCACGTTCATCAGCGTGAACCAAAGAATCCGACATGAACTGGAAAATTATTTCTTCTGTGATTCCAGCGTGAAGGTTAAGAGCATAGAACTCGACCTCCACAACCTTTGCTAGAAAACTGATCAAACTAGTCTATTGTATGTACACAATGAATCTTAGTGAGTATCTTAAAATGTTCTGATGTAAATTTAAAATATTAATTACCTTTCCGCATCCTGCCTCACCGCAAATAACCACAGGAATGTTAGCACGCGTTCTTAATAATATAAGTGCCATTTTCAATAAATTATCTGCCGACAATGCATAAGGTGGATAGTCAATGTGGTGTGCAGTTCGACGAGCAATTTTCTCTAATCTTTGTAATAATAAATCGGTTGGCATGTTCCGATAATCATCCAATCTCCACGGACTCAAATCATTATCGCGATGAGTGATATCTTGACTCCTCAACAACTTTCGAACGTTCTCTGGAACCCTAGTTTGATCCCGATAAAGTGCACATATGGAATCCGGAGCTTGCGATAAGAAAAATACCAATAAATGATTTGAGTCATCCCACGGAACAATATTCCCCAGTTGATCGTCCACCGCTTCATCCGAAATAGCTTGCTTCTGCGAAAGTTTTGTTCCAGTGGATCTTGTCGCAAAATCTTTAGACACATCACTCAATGCCTCAAACAAAGTCGTACGAGTGCCTTCCTCGTCTTTAACCATTAAACTCAGGTTCTCAACTCGGAAAAAAGAGCTAGAAGACAACCGCTATGAATTGAACACGAAAATTTAAGAATATTACGAAAGAAATTTATAAATTTATAAATATAAATTGCATATATGTTCATACCACCAGTTGATCCGCAAATACATTAATAAATATCTCGAGAAATCGAAATGATACGAGATCAGGTGAAATATCATTGAAAAAATGTTTTTCCAAAAGTTCTTGGCAACGTTTCGATGGCAGAGGCCTCAATGATCCTGATTGGAATGAAATATTCTTTTCATCCAGAACTTGCTTTTCATATTGATCCAAGTAATGACAAACCACCTGAACCTGGCTGTTAATCTCGCGAGATGTTAATAATTTGTTAATTCGGAAATATAATTTAATTGAATCCAAGCAAGAGAGGAATTTAATTGATTTCATCAATCTTTCATCTGTACTTGAGGCTACCTCTACAAAAATAGGTATGGAGGGCATAATCGCAATGACTCCTTTGTGAGAAACAATACCGAAGGTTAACAATTGAAACAAGAACATATTAATCTCTTCTGGGTTATCAGCAGAAATTATATTTATGTGCAACGAATCGATTTCTCGACTGAGTTCAAACTTATTGAACCTGCGGACTAATTTTCCGAAATCGTCTCCATCGCTAATGAGAAAACTCCTGGGAATTCGGTGTTTTCGAAAACTTTCCTGTCGGATCCATTCAGTTTTCCCTTGACCCGATAATTCTGAGGTCACACATATCACATCATTACAAATAATTTTATAAATCTTTTTCATCGCATCGGTGCTTAGGCCGTTGGTAGCACGAAAATCGGAAAATCGGTCTAAAATATGATGATGCGTTCCTTTTTCCGGACAACAAATCAATGCCAAGTAGTAGTTTTCTGACTTCTTTATGTATGACCTTATTTTCTTGACCAAATCATATTGCAACTTGAAATCCAACACCTCTAGGTTTGCCATACAGAATAAATGATCTTGATAACCATTGTTTGCGGCCAGGAAGCACCTTTTAATAAATATTGATATATCCTCCGAAGTTGTCGAAGAAGTGCAATTTAATAATTGCCAAGAACTGGGACATGCACCTTGATTGATTTGCAATGACATTATGACATTCGGAATTAAAAATTTGTCGCTACATGACGCTATAAATAGCTTCCCACGATCCACGAGGTCGGAAACCACACGTTCGCCAGTATCTTCCAAACTATAAGGATCCTTTGAAAGTGAACCCAGTATTTCATTTAACTTTGCCCCAATTCCACACAGAACTCTGTAATATTCGCCCTTTTTAAAAGTGAATCTTTTATCTCGGTATAACCGCGATCCGGCAACCGGATTAACATATTTAACAAGTGTCCTACAAAGGCTTTCGCAATTATCTTTTCCAGATTGATTAAAATAATCGAAGAACAGAAGAATGTGACGCGCCGGAAAGAATGTCAAATAATAGTACTTATCTTGAGCCGAATTAACCGCCGTTTCCCTAATTTCAAATACATAAACAAACTTGAGCTAAACACTTTAAATTATTTCGAGTATCAAATAGATACGCACCATGAGCGCAATTCATTTTCTAATTCACGGCGATGTTGTTTCAACTCATCAGTACCCCTAAGAGATACTTTTGACTCGCGATAAGAAAAATGTCCCTTTTCGATCAACTTTTTATTGTGGGGTTGTTTTCAAGGTCAGATGGATGTTAAATTACTGTACCGCAGTAAAGGAAACATTGTGCTCACCTCTGAGGATAGTCTAACTACATCCAGAACTATGTCGACCTGAATAACAAAATCATTCACTATATTCTCGAAAGGTTCATGTTCTTCGTCATCGATGTGATTAATGTCAACAGTGGGCTTTGCTATTAATAGGGCGCGACCGCGTAAATCTTGTAATTCTGAAATATTTATGACCACGATGCCACCTTTTGATGGATACGTTAGTGTTACGGAACATTCATAGTCATCTGATGACCAATGAAAAATATAATTTCCGATCTTAACCGCGTTTTTTATTCTTTCCTTAGCAACCTCTCCACGATTCGAAATGTTGTTATACATATTTTGCAGAGCCATATTGTTACTATTGCACAAAGTAATCTTGCTGGCTAATAGAGTGTTACTTTTCGCAACATGATTCAAGTCGATCAAAAAAGCTTGTAACGGGTAACCTTCAGCCGTATTAATCAACGGAATAAGAATTTGTTTAACCTGAATTAGAGATGATACGGTATCTTCCTGGACGAGCCGTCCTTCCGAATCATCAACTCCATTTATCAAATTTTTTAAATCTTCATCTGCAATTGTTCGCAGAAAACTAATGAAGTCTGAGGAAGCGGAAATCTCCTTAATCAAACTCCAGCAAATATCATTGTTAATATCAGAGAGTCGTTTTTCTAAACTTTCAAAAAAGTCTCGTAACTTCCCCAATGACAGGAAATCATCTTTGAGATCGTTATAGGATGTTTGCAACCATTCATCATCTTCCTCAAGATAAACTCTAAATATATGCACCACCTGTATAAGTTGATCTAATCTTTCGACCCATTGGGAAACATTAGAAAGATGCTTTAATGTTCTTATGAATTCTGAACTTTTTTCCCGTTGTAGATTCATCAAATCAAGTTCCACTTCAACGTCGGATACATTACTCCAAACAAGTGATGCATTGGAGAATTGGAGTTTTTCCCAATTCTTGTGTTGAGCGCATATTTCGGAATATTTTTCGTGAACACGAATCATAAGTTCTGTAATGTCTTGTACTTTTAAATTTCTTCCAGGATGAACCTCCTGTTTTAAGAAATTGTTGTATATATTTTTGAATGTTCGTGATCTGAAAAACTTGTACGTTCTGTTAGCGATGTCTTCAGAACTCTGGTGCATGGTCCAATTATTGGTCAACAATGCATCTTTTAGTTTAATTTGACGCTTCAGTTGATTTCGCAGGCTAATATCGTCAAGAAATTCCGTAACATCAGTGACTCCGTGATCATGGCAAAATTCGGTATAAAATACGCGCAAGATGTCTAATTTTTGTTCATAATCTTTGTACTTTCCCCTGATCTTTTCTAAAACATCTCTGGAAACAACAAGAGCCGTAATATCTTTTTTTACAATAGCTGAATCGAAATAAGAAGACAGAAATTCGTTATCATGTGTTAGAAGCTCTTGCAATAGATAAAGATTTATATTTTCTTCAAGGATCAATTCTGCTAAATTAGAAATGGCGTCGCGTATTTCTTGAATATGAGGATGAGTATGTAATTTTTCGACGCATCCAGTTGATCGCAAAATAGTGATCCAAAGTCTTGCACGACCAAGCAAGTCCAGGTGAAATTCGGTGCTATATGATTTCGAATCAAATGTTGATTGTAAACGTGTCATGACAAGATATAATATATCTTCGCATATCCTGAAAAAGGAAAAGTTGGAAAATCTAAATAAACGATCACTTTCAATAATTAAAAAAAAAAAGGTAATCTTATCTACCCATTTGGCACATGTAATTCAGATCCTGGAGATGAAGTATTTTCTGTTTCTCCGACATGAGGAGTACAGATTGTCTTGATCTTTTTCAACAGTAACTCGTCCATTTGTTCCACGAACGGCCTCAAGAGTTCTTGTACCATCAAACCAAACCTCTCCGCAACGGGTGGTACCAATCTTTTAACAACCTTATCGACACTTCCAAAAATATTGATCTGAGGATATGTTTTCGCACGATCATAGGCCATGCTGAGTAGTTCAGTCCATACATTTAGTTCGCCAATGTACGGGTGAACAAGAGAAACATGATTGAATGCCATGAAGACAAATTTGTCTTTGAGTTTCGCAACACTTGCCCCTCGATCCAAAAGTTGTTTATACCACTGCTTACATATACTAGGAAGAGTTTCTTCGTTCGTATTCTTGAATGAAGTGCTCCAAAATTCCAAAAAGCGATTAAAAAATGTCAATAAACCAAGATCAATAGACTTAGATATATTATCTAGTAACGAAATATAATCTTGCTGAGTCCATTCCAGTTGTTGACTGAGTAGAAGATCTGTGATTGCCTCAAGATGCTCCTTTGACCAGTCCCGTTTACAGTACAGACTTATAAATTCAAGTGACCTTAAACGAAATACCTCGGAAGTCAAATTTTTAAGGTCGTCGGAAAGTCCAAAAAATTGTGAACGTAAAACAACACACGAATCCATCTTTTTCACGATATTTTGAACGCGACCCTTGAAATACTCGCGGAGTTGAATATCTCTTTCAGGAGTATGAACAATAATGGTCCACATCTCGGTAATTGACTTAATACTATTGCATTGTTTAAGCATCCACTGGAATCATAAAGTGAAAAATAATTATCATTATCATTATGCTGACTTAAATAAAGAATATTAAATATTTACCTTTGCAATCTTAACATAGATGTCGTTATCTTCGGTTTGGTCTATGTGTGGACAAACTCGCTCTCTTAAACATGCTAGAAACTTATTCATTTCATTTTCGCTGTAATTTTGTTCCGGTATATGATCGATAAATTCATACTCTGGATCTAAAAGCTTTACGGTGGTAAAAATATTAATCCATTCAAGTGATCTGAGATGGTCGATGTTATGGCGAATCAGCGGCATAATAGCGAACCGTACTTTCCGAATAGTATCAGAGGGAAATGTATCCTTATCAATTTGACATAGCGTTTCGAGCAAGGAATTTGATTGAAAATCTTTCTTCAAGCCATATAGGGAATTTTCACTTTCCCCCATAAAATAACCAAGCAAAACACACAAAAAAAGCCTCTTCTCTAAAGTTATATTCCCAAGAAGTGATCTACTAATAAATCCATCAGACGATGACTTAATCGTTAAACGATGTTCCAGTTTCAATATTTTTTCATATTCCATGATTTTTTCCTTGAGGTTTTCCTTGGAAATTGCGTCGTAAATGATTTTCACAAAACAATATTCCTTGATGTCATTACGAAAATTGCGATTATCATTTGGAATCCATATATCATACTGGCTTCCCCCATGAACTTCAAGCGCACGATTAGTGTGTTCACCATCCCCCTCTAATATTAAGTTCTTGGTTTTTTTCTTACCTTGCAAGAAGGCATATTTATAATGAATATTATCCTCGAATCGATTTAATGGAATGCGAACTAATTTAGATTGATAGCAGCCCGTATTCCTTTCGATTTCTTTAAGCTCCACAACCGACTTTTCCCAATTACCCAATTCTTCAATGCTGCCAACAACGATAGGTTTTCCATCTAATCGCGGGAGATGTACATAAAATCTAATAATAACATCATCGTCATTTTCTTTTGGAAGAAGTTTGTCGATAATTTTTTTTACTCCTAGATCCTTCACAGAAAATTTACTACTTCCAGTTTGCCCTGCATCATCTAAATCTTCGTCACGCACTTCAACTTTGTTAGCGTCTGACCGTGATTCTAACATTTCGGATTCCGACTCAGAGGAATCAATCATGGGATCTGAGGAAATTGTGGCTTTTTGACCCGACTCGCTGATGAATGGATCGGGAACATTTTTCTGTGAAAGTTTGTTTTCACCCATTTGTCCATCGTAAGAATCAAATGTAGAAGCCTCGCGTAAAGGCTTTGGAAATTCATTCTCTTCTTTGTGCGATTGAAAATTTCTTCCTTCAGAAAATTCTCTGGTATTTTGTTGTGTATCTGATTTACCATCAGGGACTGCATTTGGATTATTATCTTCTTTGCGCGATTGAAAATCTCTGCCTTCAGAAAATTCTCTGGTACTTTGTTGTGTAGCTGATTTACCATCAGGAACTACATTTGAATTAATATCTTTCCGTCTATTTCCCCTTCTCTTGGACGTATTTTGAGTATCATTTCTGTTATGAGCATTTTCATTGGGCGAATTATGAGTCTTATTTTCTGCCTGCTTATTAGATGCATTCGTTTTAGAGCCCTGTGTGGAAGAAGAATCTTTATTAACATTAACAAGATGTTTTCTTCTTCTCACGTTCCCTGAATTATTGGAGCTCATGTCTAATAACGTGTTTGCGAGAAAATGTGAACGCGGTACGTAATCTTAAATCGGTACATTTATATAGTGTACGTAATTGTTTCCCGAAAAGGCTTAATTAAACCTTTTTTTTTTCGTTATTTAAAAAACATGAACAAGATACGGGCAAAATGACAAATTTCTATAATTGGCTTTATTGACCGAGTTTTTCCGAAAATTTGACGCACTGAATAACCTCGTGAAATTCAAATGATTCCATTGAGCCTAAAAAAGTAATTATTGAAGGTTTCGAAAATTATTATCATATCAGATATCTTGTATTTACCATATATTTATAACAAGTTTTTTTTTGGTGCCATTACATTCATAACCTTTTTACAAAAATGTATTTATTTATTTACTTTTTTTTTTTTTTTTTTATCGCGAACGAGCATTAAGTATTTATTTATTTACTAAATATTTGTTTTTTTTATTTTTTTTAATTATTGAAGATAAAATGTTTTTCAAAAAAATAAATAAATTTTTTATTATATATAATAATTATTATATTTTTAAAAAAAATCATATTAAATTATTGTAATTAAAATAACAATTAAATTTATATTATAATTCTATTCAATTTAACTTGTTCATTAATAATATTAAATCTTTAAATATAACTTATAAAATAATAAATTTTATTTATATTTTTTAATATCACAATATAATTTATAAATTATTATTATAGTATTATACAATATATTATAAATTCAATTATATTATTTTTTTTTATAAAAATTATTAAAATAATAATAATAATAATAAAATTATATAAATAATACATATATTAAAAAATAATAAATAATATTATTTATCATTAAAAAAAATTTTTTTTTTTTAATAAATTAAAATTTTTGAATTTTTATAATAATTTTTATATATATTATATTTTTTATCACTTATAATTAATTATACTATTTAATTTCTATTTTGATTTCTATTTAAATTTCTATTTTTTAATTACTAATTTTTTTAATTAATTATTGAAAATTTCAAGATTTTTTTTTTTTTTACTTTTATTAAAATAAAATATAATTATTTTTATAATATTTTAAATAATAAATTTATTTTTTTTTTTTAATATAAAAAAATATTATTACTTTATTAACTGTAAATTTTTTTAAACTTTATATAAAAAACAATACTATCTCTTATATAATTTAACAAGCTAATAAGTTATACAATATGTATTAAAAATAATTATTCAATATATTAATATTAATTTTTGTAATATTTTAATAGTTAATTAATAAATAAAATAAAAATTTATATCAATATAATTAATAATATAAAAAATAACTTTACTTAATAATGTTTTTAAAATATAATTTATTCTAGTTACAAAACAAAATAAAAAAAACAAAATTATTAAAATTATTTTAATGCATAAATCTGTTAAATAAGAGTAATAATAATAATAATATGATTTTTGTTATTTTTTTATTAAACATAAAAAATTATTAGATAATTAATTTAAAATTTGATCAAATTTTACTAAAAAATATAAATTTATATTAAATATAAAGTTTTCAAAAATTTAAAAATTTTTTAAAATTAATTTTATTTTATTTTTTTTTTTTTTTTGTAGGTAAACATCATTTCTTTATTTGATTTGTATATATCAAGGTATACATCATGAAAGAAACAACATCTCTCATACGCTATTGCGATAAGTTAAATGCTAGCTTGCCTACAGCAACTACTTGACTAATA